GAGCATTGTACAATGTTATTGGTGAGGACCTGTGTGAATCATGTAAGGAGAAGGGAATTTCCTGTAAGATGCAAAAATCTTCAATTAGGAAACTTTCCCATATGGACAGAGTGAAGCCTTAGAATTACTATACAAATTTGGTTGTAATGTTAAAGTGAGCAAGAAGGAGACATAAGAAATTTTCTTGTTGCGAAAGGTCAAGGTCAGGGACTTTTGGGCTACCAAACAATGCTCGAGTTAGAGATTTTAAAAATTGGTCCAGAATTACAGGTCAATACCATGCAACTTGGAAAGAAAATAATGATGGTAATTGGAAAACTGAAAGATTTTAAACTGGGCTCTCAATTGACCCCACTTTTCTCCAGTGTCCCAACTGCTACAGAGTGTGTCCTGTTCAAAATTTTTGATCAAACACAGGAACAAATTGAACTGCTTATTTGCCAAGATATCATTGAAAAGGTTAAGGGACAAATCCCCTGGGTGTTCCCAGTAGTTCCTATAGTGAAGGACATGGACAAGTTTAGTTCTACATGTGCAGTGCAAACAAGGCTATTGTGAGGGAATGGTTCCTGTTACCGGTATTTGAAGAAGTTCTAGACAAGATTCAGGGAAGCAAATGGTTTAGAACATTAGATATCCGTGATGCAAATCACCAAATTGAACTGGATTTTTCTAGTTCAATTAGGCTCCAGAGAAATCACAACCTTTGACAGATTTGGGTCTTTATAGATATAAATTTGGTTTGAATCGTGCTTCAGAAATGTTTTAATGCTTTTTGAAGTCAATTCTACAAGATTGTGAAGGGGCAGAGAATTTCTTAAATGATATCATAAGACTCAGTAGGACAATTGAAGAACATGATAGATGGTTAGTGAAAGTCTGTGAGACATTGAAAGTCAAAGGACTAGCTGTAAATGTGGGAAAGTGTAAGATTGCAGAAAAAGAAAGTGAATCTATGGGACAAGGCTACTGTCCACTTGAATAAAAAATTGAAACAATACAAAATTTTAGGAGACCAGAGACACCAGATGAAATAAGGGAATTTTTAGGTTTGGTAAATTTCTGTGCATCATTTATTCCAAGGTTAGTTCAGATAAATGAACCACTTTAAGCTCATGTATATTTCAGAACAATTCAAATGGACAGAAGAACGAGAGCCTTTTGTGAAATAAAGCGACTAATGGGGAAATTGGAAAAACTAGGTATGCTTCAATGCAAATAATTGTAGATGCAGGACCAGAAGCATTAGGTGCTATGCTAATGCAGAAATACTCAATGGGATGGCAAGTTATCTGCTATACTAGTAAAAGCCTTTCAAGATGCAAAAAACAATATTCTCAAATAGTGAAGGAAGCACTGGTGTTAGTTTTCACTTGTGAACATTTCCATCAATGGTTTTATAGAATACAATTTGACTTGGTGACAGATCATAAACTTCTTAAATATCTGTTCACATCAAAATCAAAACTCCTTTTACAACCTACTCACATCAGATAACATATGAGAAAAGCATCATCAATGTAGCTGTGAATTATTGTGATTAGTCAGCAAAGGACCAAGACTTCAATGGGGAAGCTATAAATTATGCTTATTGGATAGCTACGGAATTTTTCCAGAGCTATGCCACTAAAAGAAATTGACCATGATTTGGGAAAAGATCCAATACTGATAGTGGTTTGCCATGCAATACATACTGACCAATGATCTCATTGATCAATTTATATTGCATGGCAAACCTTTAACCATTGGAGATCTATTGGGTAACTGCTAGTTTAAAATTCTGAAGGATGAACTTTGTCTCTGGGAAAATGCTGTTCTTTGGGGTACATGCATTGTGATCCCACTAGTATTACAGAGTAGGGTGTTAGATATTGCACACGAGGGACACCTAGGCACAATAGCCATGAAAAGTAGACTACAGAGTCAAGTTTGGTGGGGGGGAAAAATCAACAAAGATGCTGAAAAGCATGTTAAATCACGTCCCAGCTGTTAGCTGATCCAAAAATCTATAAACCAATACCTTTGTTCAGGAATGTAATACTAGATAGGCCATGATGTACAGTAGATCCCCCTATAAAAGTGTTTCCTATAGTTATGATTCCTATAAAAATTGTGGCATTATCCGTAAACAACGGTAAAAATAACTCCTACAGAGGTCTATACTGATGCTGTGAAAGTAGATTCAATAAAGCAGTGGTTTTACTGTTGTCTCTGGCAATGCTGTCAACCCAGCAGGGAAGGTAGTTGTGGAATGTGAACATGGTCAGAAAGGTTATGGGTGTGTAAAACTGTGTTTGATTAAAGACTAGCTGTGTTAAAATTATGTTAAATAACTACATACACTATAATTGGCGACAAAGATTCAAAGGAACAATCAAGGTAACAAATTTGTGAATATTTAACTGTGGGAAAGAAAGAATCTTGAATTAGAACTATGGAAAGTAGTGATCAGTTACCCCCTGTCAACCCTTGTGGTGAACAAGGAAGTGTTTTTTTTTCCAATGGAAAAGGTGGCTTCAAGCAATTGAATTACATCTCACTAGCAAAAATATTACAGATGGAAATTGAAAGAAAGGAAACTTTGATACATCTGGGCAGCTTAGATTTGCAAGATATATTCTACACCATTCCAGACACTGATATGGTGGAAGAGGGTGAAGACACATTTCAAAAGACAAAGACCGTATTAACAAACTATTTCAAATCAATGACAGACAAGACATACGAGCACCATGTCTGNAAAAAAATATACGTATTTTGGAAATGTTGAGTCGAATTAGTCTAGAATCGATTAATTTTATGAAAGAAAACCTTTCAAACAGCCGTAGTCCGTAAACTATGATTCCTACAAAATTGATTCATAAAGAACGGAACGTATCTACCGTCTTATAGGGGGATCTACTGTACATTTGTGGTGGATCTGTTAGATCCCCTTCTAACAAAAGAATATCTGCTGGTAATTATTGATTATTATAGTAGATTCTGTGAAGTGGCAATTATCTACAGCATGAAAGCAGATACAATGTTGAGAAACTTTACTGAAATATTTACTAGACACTTTTCCTTGCATAATCACTATTGATAATGGCCTGCAATTCATTAGTGTGGAACTAGAGAGATGGGCAGAGCAACAAGGTATCACAATTAGGCATTCAGGTCTACTGTAGCCTCAAGCAAATGGTGACGTGGAAAGACAAAATCATAGTTTACTGAAAAGATTAAAAATTGCACAGGCAGGAAACTATAACTGGAGGGAAGAATTGTATGATTATTTATTAATGTATCATTCAACACAACATTCTACAATAGGTATAAGTCCAGTGGAATTATTGTTCAACCATAAGATTAGAACAAAACTATCCAAATTTGTTGGTGATATTGGGTTGATGAAGAAATGAAAGATGAGAGGAAAGGAGTACTACAATAAATGGTATATGGTAAAGGAATGCAATTTGAAACCAGGTGATACTATTCTCCTGAAGCAGAGCAAAGAAAATAAATTGAGTTGTTTGATTCAGCAAAATATCAAATAAGTAGAAGAGTGGGAAATAAGGTCACTGTCAAATCACCGACAGGGAATACTCTTATCAGGAACATCTCCAAGATTAAAAGATTTATTCCAAATGAACACACACCACCGGAAACAACCCAAGAGAGATCCAGAGTTGTTTCTGGCTGAATCAGGTCCAATGCTAGAGGAGGAGGTGCCAACTGAGGAATGGTCAGGAAACCATAGTGATCCCGCACAGATGCAAGACAACTATCTAAAGCCAGTAGAGACAAGCAAACCAGATCACAATGGTTGTAGCAAATCATGGAGAGAACACACAGCGTCTTTATGCTATCATGATTATATCATGTATTAATTAATTAAATTATATGTTATGTTTATTTTTATGTTATATTTACATTAACTTTGACTTCTGTAAGTGGTTATCACTATTTAACCTGTTATGTAATCAGGCTATGTAAAAAAAAGGAGATGATGTACCAACTGGCAATACTGTCAACCCATTGGGCGAGACAGCTGTGAAATGTGAACCAGGTTGGAAAGGTCACAGGTTTATAAAACTGTGTTTGAATCAAGACTAGCTACATTAAATCATGTTAAGTGAGCTACATACACTAAAGTGGATTGCAAAGTTATTAATCTACAGAACATTTAAACTGAGGTACAGACAGATGGAAGACCAGCTATGCCTCTTGTCTAATTCCTATCCTGTAAATAGCACCTTAGACAAACTATTTTGGCACACAATCTATTTAGTGATCTAACACAAAAGATTTGTGATTCATAAAAATGTTCTTTTCTCTGGCTAAACAAAAAATTGCATTTGGAAAAATGATTAGATCAGTCTGCAGACTATCTAATCATTTTTATCTAATTGTGCATGCTTTTGCATGATCAGTGGTTCATGAACCATACTTTGAGAATCACTGTACTAAAGCATTGTTAAATTAAGTAATTGTCATTACAAGAGATCTACTAGGATAGAGAATATATGTATTGAATGCAGCAAAAATATTAACATGTATTTTTCTATCATGTTAATATTTTTGCTGCATTCTATTTTGCAATAAAATTAAGACTAAATCTATATCATCTGCTTTCCCACACATTATTGCAAAATGGAAATTCGAAAAGATAAGGTGCAACCCTTGTTCATTATTTATGCTATAATTAATGAGAGTTATAGAATAAAAGTATTTAAATTGAATACAATATTGATTATGATTAAATTTAGGTAAAAATTACTTTCAACAATGAATGCTTTGTTTGTTATTGACAGTTCATTTACCAATAACTATATTTTCTTAAGTGAAAGCGTGAGAAATTTTACTTTTCCTAGATGTAAATATTTATTTTTGCATATTTACTATATTAGAAATGTCCTTGTTAAATTTAAACAAAGAGTTAAACTTACATTTATAGTAGTTTTAAAATATAATTTGAATATATTTTACTGTAAATAATGACTTTTTTATTTTGGCATATTTAGCACTGAAATCACTCGCCATGCAGTCTTGTGCTATTTTATCACAACGTGCAGTTCCTAATGAAAATGTTGAAAATGATGATGATACTTTATTTACAAAGAAACGCAGGGTAGTCAGTATAGATAGTCAGGTAAGTGACATTTAAAATTTTGATTGAAATTTGTTGTCTTCATTTTTATTAAGAAATTTCTGATTAAAATCAAAAATTATATTTGTGATCTCTTAGAATAATTTTATTTGTATTCTATGCATTAGAGATAATATATACGTATAGTTTGACAAGAAAAAATAAGCATACTGACAATAAAACTAGTGAATGCAGAGAGAACTATAAATTAACTTTATCTCTACAGCAGCACTTCTTGAAATCTTCTTATAGTAAATTTGTATGATTATGAATACATTCAAATGAAGGTATGATTATGATAAACAATATTCTTGATAAGTATTCTCTAAAGCATTCTTAAATTTAACTTTTATGGGAAGATACTCATTAGGGAGAAAAATGTTTATATATTCATTCCTACTTGTTAATATTTCTACTGCATTACAATTTTCAATAAAATTTTCCATAATTATTACAGAATGTTAAGATAAGATACCAAGTGCATAACTTGATTTAAAATATTTTTTGAGATTGAGCCTTTTTTTTGCTTTGGGATGATAGGCTTATTAACTTTGTCATATGCTTTCCTGAGTTCAAATTGTGTTATTGTGAACTGCAATGTAACAAATATTAACATTGGTAGAAAAGAAAGTAAAAAATTATCATGAATATCGTTTTGCATAAATTAAAGCAACAAACAACATAGATTTAATTTTTATATTGCTTTACTCATTATAATCTTTTAATAAAAGAATTTGACAAGGCAAATGACACTAATAAAAAGTAAGGCTAGTGATTTGAAGAAACAATGCTATGAACTGTTTTTAGTAATTTTTACTACAAATTTTTTTTTCATCAAATGCTTAATGTACATTTCCAAATTTTAAATTTGCTTAGTTTATTTATTTTTATTTATCTAAGTATACTGGTACAAACCATGATGCAGGGAGAAGAATAAAAAGCAAAACACAAATATACAAAATCATACAACATATCTAGGGAATTCGATCCCGGTCCTTATTTCTAATCCCGGGATTTTGGGATTATACTTATTCAATCCCGGGATTATTTCGGTATTGAGGGTTAATAAAAAATAAGAAAATCTTACAGAAATCAAAAATCAAAATTTAGACAAAAATCAACGTATTTTACGGTATACACCTAGTTAATTTAATCACTCTAACTAATCAGACTTAGAGTCAGACTAACCAGACTTAAAATCACTGTTTCATGTTAAATTTATTCTTTTTTAAACATCACTGACATCTCTTTAAACTCACATAAATTGAAAAAACCTTTATGTAACAAACTATGCAAATAAACCTTGAAAATTAACAAAAATCTCTCTTAACATCGACTAAATAGACTACTGTACTTTCATATAACAACCTAGTAAGTAGGTAGTAAAGTAAGTTTCTTAGCAAAAAGTATTTAAAAATAATATTAATCAGTCAAATTTTTCTTAAATATAAAGAAAACTAATCTAATAGGAACATTCTAATTTGAATTACGAAAATATGATCTGAGAAATAACAACGCATCCAGTGTCTCATCACCAAGTCTGCTTCTCAATTTGTTGCACATATATGCAGCTGCTGAGAAAACGCGTTTAGGTTTGATGGAAGTTGGAGGAATCGTTAGTAAATACTTATAAGCTTTGAGGACACGGGGAGGATGGAAGAAAACAGTCCGGTCGACACGGATCGGGATTGTATGAGTAAAGGCTACAATCCCGATTGTTTCGATCATTGTAAGCATGTCTTTCTAAAAATAAACGCGTTAATTTTGTAAATTCGGTCTCTGTGTGAGTCTCTCAGCGTCCAGCAAACCACTACCCCGAAACGTAAAAAGACTTTCTCGCATCATCCTGACAGATCGCGGGCAAGGCGAGGGTCGTAACCTTTTCACCTAAGGTCGATCCCCCTAAGCGAGAGGCGTCGGGTCTATATTAACTACACTGGCAAAACAAGATGGCTGACACATTGACAGGTAAAACGCACTGAGTAGTGCTCTCGACTGCTACCAGAAAATCGATTGGCGCCCGCGAAAATTCAAAAGTACAAAAATGAAGTATATTACCAAGTAACCCAGTGAGAACTGCTTGCCTATCATTTTAGTTGAAAATACAAGAAGTTTTATTACAAGCAAGCATCGCAAGCCCGCTAGGTTAATTTCTGCTGCTTGCTTGGAATAAAATTTCTTGTATTTTATATTAAAATGATAGGCAAGCAATTCTGTTAAAAGCACTGGCACTGAACGTTTCGCTTCATGCAGTCTATTTTTTTTAAAATGATGTCAATCCCGAAAATCTCGGGATTAGGAAAACTTAATCCCGAAAATTTTGGGACTGAAAAGTGGTCGGGATCCCGGGATCCCGATTTTCGAGATCCCGGGATCAAATCCTCTAAACATATCCCACAAATATATACAACATCATCAATAAAATAATAAATCAAACAAAAAAAAAGTAAATACTCTATATTCGTCATTAATCTATTCCCAAGAACCTAATAAATATGGAATATGATGAATATAGAAACAATTTTTCTCATAATAAATAACTGATATTCAATTAATCCATTCCCATCCTGAAAGAAAGGTACAAGAAAAAATTATGTTGTTTGTTTGTAAAACTTTACTGTATTTATTTAGTACAATAAAGATATAGTGGTAGAAGGGGAAGAACAGTATTATTGTTCAGAAGAATAGATATCAATTAAAACATTAGGCAATTCCAATTGTGATCATGGGGTCTGTTTTGCCGATGATTCAGTAGCACTTGATTTAATAAAGAACTTGTCCAGTGTTTTGTGTTTTTGTGTGCTTTTTAAAACTTTTCTGAAGTAGGCAATTACATTATCATTAATGTATTTGTATTTTGGTTGACTATAGTAACATTTGGGTGCCATTTTGGCATGATTGGAACTTTGTTTCTAATATAATAAGACACCAACCAAATGCCGGCATTTGGTTGGTGTCTTATTATATTGGATATCGGGTTTGGAGATGTTTATTTGTTTCTAATATTGATTATTTTTCAATAACTCAACAACAGACATGACAACCGCACAAAGCAGATGGATTAACTACAGCTAGCTAACATGGCTAGCTGATCGGTGTGAGTATGCAATTGTAGTGCCACTTCCGGTGTTGGGAATGACAACAAATACAGAAAATACCGATGAATATGGAAAAAATAAAAAAGTCATCAAAATGTGATGAATATTGAATATTACGAATATAGAGGTTCTACTGTATTTATTTAATTTATTTATTTAATACATTCTAAACTTAATTTACATTTACATGGGAGAACTGTCCAAAAAAATAACAAAATAAATTGATAACCAACAGACTAGGCTAAACCTTACCTAGAAAATAAGAAATCAACAATTAAATCACTTGGGAGACTATCCGATTTTGCGAACAAGTATCTAGAGCAACCACTGGTTAAATAACAGACCACGTCCCCAGGCAAAATTGTTTAGTTTCTAATAAGAACTAATTAGTCCAAAGTAATGCTTGTCTTGTGTTTTGGACTGATTAGTTTTTATTGAAAGCTCAGTAAATTGAGTATTACAATATTGTTCCAAATTGACTAGTTAACTTTTATTATATTTAAATTGGAATTCAAATAAATCACATTCTCAATCATTGGATAAAAATTTTTATAGTAGCATAGAACAAAGCAGTGATTACTTGTTTAAAATTTTCTTCATACTCATTGTCTGAAGATTTATGTAGTTATCAAACTATGAATAAAATCTAAAATAATGTGATATTAATTTTTATTATTAGAAGACATGAGAAAATAAATTTTATCACTAAAAAAAAAAGTTGATTTATTTTGGACATTGGAAATAATACAAGTAATGTTAACATACTTTTTTATTTTTTTCTCTAATGAAATTAATTTAATTTTTGTGAAAAATATTTTAGAATAAAATTATTGAATATGGAAAGGAAGTGAAAATTATATTATGGGAATTGATTTTCAAAGAATATTGTGTTTTTATGATCATTTGTATACAGAATGCAAATATGTTCTAAAATAGAAATATTTTTGGTCAAATCATATATTGTTAATTATAATAACAATAGCATTCACACATGTAATAGTATTATGAATAATTTATAATAGTATTTACCATTTATGATTGATATGATCTTGATTAAGAGACAATTATGCTTAATTTGTTCATTTCAATTGTTAAATATCAGATTTGATCAGAATAAACTAAAATATTCAATGATCTAAAATTTGTTAGTTTGTAACAAATTTAATTATCATAATGACTTTTTTTATAGTAGTAATAATTAATATTAAAGGTTATACTTACATGTTGTGGCATTATGAACGGTGACTGTTTAGAGTTTGGATAAGTTCACAAGCATTTTCAATAACTTATAGTTACCATCTTTAGGTGTAAATCGAATACAGCAGTTTTATATTTTGAAACTTTCGAACAGCTTGTTGATCATAACAAAGAAGCTAGATAGAACACCAATTTAAATTGAAAATTGGAGTATAGTTTGAAAATATTTTTTGCACAGCAATATGAATGATGTAGTATTCACAAACAATAAGTGCTAAGCACCACTGAAGCTCTAGAAATGCAGATTATAATGTTTAAATAGTGTTGTCCATATTTGTGGAATTTCTAGAGTTGTTGCATTGCACGGTGTAAGAGTCGATTACAGTCGACCCCCCTATAAGATATAGATAAGTTTTAATTTATTAGGAATCCGATTTCTTACAAGTCGTTCCAATCACAGCCCGACACGTGTCAAGTTTACGGACTACGGCTGATTGAAAGGTTTTCTTCCATAAAATTAATCGATTCTACACTAATCCGACTCAACATTTCCAAAATACGTATATTTTTTCGTAGTTTTATAGGAATCGTAATTATAGGGACCGTAATTATAGGGGAGTCGACTGTATATATAGGTTCTCCCAAATAAAAAGTTCTTTTTGAATGTTGCATCCTTTTAATAGTTTTGCTTGGGCCCAGATCGGCTGATATTCCTGATCAAGCACTTTTTTCGCCAATTCTGTTGGTCTTATTATTTAGGATGTCTTCTTGATGTTCTGTGATGCGAGATATTAGCGTTCTGGCTGTGGCTCCTATATAGGTAGTTTCCTCTCCTGATTGATCATGCTTTAATGGAATTTGATAAACTCCCGATTTTTCATTCAATTTAAAGATGTCTCTATCGTTACATAATAATCTTCTTAGTGTTGGTTGTGTAGTTAGCGGTAAAATAAAACCATTCGCTTTAAAAAGACGTACTATTTTAAGAGATACGGGATCTAAAAACGGTAACGGGAGTGTGCTATTTTTAGCTCCTCTTTGTTAGTGAGAAAAGTTTGAGGAAATAGTTTATTTTTAACACGGTTCTGGAGATAATAAAATTTTGACTGGGAGTAACCAGCTTCTTGCATAGCTCTACTAATAAGCTGTAATTCTTCTTCTACCAATGCTTGGTTTGAGGGGATGAGGGAAGATATGGCAGAGTTCATGTAGTTTTTGGGTTGGAATGTCGTCGTAGGAATAATTTGTGGTATGTTGTTGTTTTTATGATGAACAGAAAACAAAAACTCAGGAGATTTTTGGATATCTAGATCTTAGAAAGAAATTCTGGCATTTAATTCTTCTAAAGTGAAATTGATAGATGGATAAACAGATGCCAACATTTGAATGAACTGTTCTAAATTGTCTGTGGAACCTTCCCACGCGAGTAGTATGTCATCTACATAATGAAAATACATTATTGGGTATTGGATGGTCAGAGGGGCATTAAAAATACGCTGTTCTATGTTGCGCATAATGAGTTCTGCTAACACCGGTGACAATGGGGACCCCATTGATAAACCTTGTATCTGTTTATATATTGTGCCATTAAACTGAAAGTAATTGTTTTCAGTTATGAGTAGGAGAGCTTTAAGTAAATGTATTACATGTGAAGTTGGGTACCCAGAGCTGAGCAGCAGAGAATTGGCAAGCATGACTGCCTCGAAATATGGTACCAATGGGTAAAGAGAAACGTCGTCAACCTTAAACAAGTGGTATGCATTAGTGGGGAGGTCTTTTAGTTAGGTAGAAATGACTGTTTTAGCATCCATAGAGGCTGTGGTTACAAGGTTGGATGGAAGTAATAAGAATGTAAATAATTTTGCTATGACAGCTTCCAGATGGTATGTAGGATGGGTGTGTTTGTTGACCAATGGTCTTAAAGGCCAATCAGGCTTATGTGTTTTACCTCAAAAAATAATCTAGGGCAGGGCTTCTTAAACTATGGGTCACGACCGCATTTAGGGTTGCTTAGCGAAATCTTGGGGTCACGAGATTTTAATGCAAAATATTGAAAATAATTTGTGAGAGTTTGAAAATGGCACGCTTTGTGTCATAGGTTTTGTGAGTTGCGTTTTGTGTCACTTCTGGTGCAGCAAGACAACGATTCAGCAACATTGATTGTAATGTGAACTAGTGTAGTATTGTTGCTTTTCAGTGTATTCAGTTGTGTCTGTTTCATTGTAACACAACAGTGAACTGTGGTAGTATACCATTATTGTTTTTGTAAATTTGTATACTGTATATCTTTATTTTATATTTTTTGGATCGCAAAAAAATTGCAATCATAAATGGGATTGTGAATAAAAAATAGTTTAAGAAGCCCTGATCTAGGACAAGCAGTGTTCATTGGTGGTTTTAGAGATTCTGTTAATGAAGATACAATCCCTGGAAGAGCTGTAATTTTGCGTGTTTTCCATAATATGCTGTTCGTTAGGTCTTGTTTTTTAATAGCGGACTTGGATTGTTTCAGGAAGTCATTTGCCCTTGATAGAAAATCTTGATTTTTACACAAAACAAATCTTTTTTCTTTATCTGCCACAAGTAAATTTAAATGGTTGGATGTGAGGAAGGACTTTACTGATTGAATCATTTTCATATCCACGTTTTTGTTTCTCGGGCATTGCTGCATTGCTATGCTTGAAATAGCTGATAATTCCAACTTGGGTTCCAACTCTGGAGTAGACATACTTTTAATAGCCGCAATGGTAGGAGGAATAAGATGTGAATAATCAAGTATTGGGACCAGTATGTGTTTTGGTCCCTTTATTAGTGTTTGATGAATATTGTCTGGCACATTTAAAACTGTGAAGTTGTAATACTGAATTTCTATTTTTCTAGTTTGCTTTCAGTGGGAAGTTTCTTGTAGCCAATAAAATTTCTTATTGAGTTTCCTTCTGATTTCATACTTTTTTATTGGCGATGTATCTTATTTTACCCAATTGTTGGTATAGGATTTTTGCATCACACTGTTTATCGAAGTATAGTTGGGTCAAGTACAACTGTTTTTCTTCTTCTACTGTGGCCTTACGTTTGTTCTTGATTAATTTAGCCAGTAGACTTCATTCAAATCGTGGTAATAAGGCACGAACTTCAACCAGAAAGGAGTCATATTTGAGAGCGATGCATTTGAGGATGAGACCCTTCTTGCAACTCTTTAAAAGGAACCATAGCTGTGCTTTTAGCTTCAACCATGCAACTCTTGTATTCAATAATATAAAGAAGTGTTTTTTATTATTTTCCATATCAAATGTAATAATCACTTCACGCTGACTTTTTCAATATCAAGGGTACACTTACATGTTACGGCGTTATGAACGGTGACTGTTTAGAGTTTGGTTAAGTTCACAAGCACTTTCGATAACTTATAGTTACCATTTTCAGGTGTAAATCGAATACAACAGTTTTATATTTATATGCAAAAAATATTTTCAAGCTATATTCCAATTTTCAATTTAAATTGGTGTTCTATCTAGCTTCTTTGTTAAGATCAACAAGATGTTCAAAAGTTTCAAAATATAAAACTATTGTATTTGATTTACACCTGAAGATAGTAACTATAAGTTATTGAAAATGCTTGTGAACTTATCCAAACTCTAAACAGTCATCATTCATAACGCCACAACATGTAAGTGTAACCTTTGATATTGAAAAAGTCGGTGTGAAGTGATTATTACATTTGAATATTAATTAAATTTGAAATCAACATTTATCAAATTATTATTAAAGCATTCATCAATAAAATATTAGAATAATTGCATTTGTTCTAGTAAGTGTAGTCATTAAAAATTTATTGCCTTTTCAGATCACTAATCTAATTTATAAAATACTTAATAATCTCTGTGAAATTAATTTATTGAATCAGAAATCATTTTAAAAGCATAACAATATAGTATAATTTTAACAAATAATGATTAATGAATTGTTTAAATTTTTGCAGTCATTGCTTCTACCTTTAGTACAGAATTGTGTGGATATTTGTGATTTAGAAATAAATGGTTGTATAGATAATAGGTTTTCCAAGAAATGCTGGTATGTATTTTACAATTAACTTTATATTTACATTGGCCTTAACATATAAAAAAAAATTTTTTTTCAAATAGGACATTTAGCTTGAATTGTTTTAATATAATAATAGGATTTATATTGCTATTGCCCAGAAAATAAAATTCTATCAGAAAACCTAGAAAATATCACAATACCCTTTTCTCTTAGAAAAAAATTTTTTCAAATGAAATTTTGCTATTTCAGGTTAAATGTACCAGATTTAAGATTTGTTACAATATTTTCTAAAAGGAGGTTTTAGCATAATGTTAGAGAATGCTTAACAAAAAAAGAATGCACAAGAAATGTGCATTTGTGAGAGAAAAGATGTCAAGAATTTTTATTAGATTAATTATTTAATGGAAATGTTCAAAAACATTGACAGAATTCTTGGATGTATTTGCTTCTTTTTTCAACTAATTATTTAAACTAATAATTATATCTTGAGCATATGATCTTAGTCTGCCTAATTTAGAAAGTGCTTTTATTTTAAAAATATAAATTGATTCAATATCAACTTACAGTTGGTTAAAAAATTAATAAGTAATTTTATGTTTATAGTAAAATAGTCAGTGTGTACAGTTATCCCTTGCTTAATGCACTTTCGCTTAATGTGGGATTTAATTAACACACAAAATTAATTGTGGCAATACCGTTTTTAAATGTGACAGAAATTTTAATTAACACGAAAAAATTAAAAAAACTATTGGAGGTCGTTTTTGACATCAGAAAGTAGCTTTAAATAACTTTACTGAAGTCAAATCCGTGCACTACAACTTTAGAACGATTAATTAAATTTGATAAAAAAAAATCGCATTAAAAAACAATTAAGCGTTAATCGTGCATCATTAAAGGTTGATTAAAATTGTGATAAAATTTTTTTGTGCAGGTAAAAATTTTTGAAAAAATTTGGAGACTTAAAAAAACATTCCAAAAATCCAAAAAAAAAATTTTGGGGGCCAAAAGGACCGAGTTTTATGTAATGCTATGCAACTTGCCTGAGATATCTCGGGCTAAGGGTTTAAGGGTTAATTAACCATGTTAATCAAGGGATACCTGTATTTGACTGGATCAATTTTATATAATATAAATATATACAGGTATGTAGTGTGGATGGGTGTAAAGTTATCAAATGTCTGTTTTTCTGTAAGTTTATTTATTCATAAACTATCAAATTAATGTGTAAATGATTGAAAGTATAGTTCTAAAATTAGTTATAAATATTATGGTTACATAAGAAATAAATTGAACAAACAAATAATGTAAAAAAAAATCTTTGTAATCCAGCAATATTATTTTAATAAGACCTGAAGATTTGTTTTTAAATAATTTTGTATTTCTAACTTTATATTTATTTACTTTTATTATTTTGCTTATTTGTTGTTAATTTTTATCTTTATTTATGCTAATGTTTAAATATTCAAATGTGTTTCAATGCTACTACATCCTTATGTTTTATCATATTTCTGTTTTAATTTTTTGTTCTTTAAGATAACAATGACATGTAATTCAAATAATGTATGAAATAAATATTTACCTTTTGTTCTTAGAGGAACTCTGTATTCTCTTTGAATTAAATGCTATCAACTTAAAATGATTTATTATAATCAAATAGGTCCAAATCTTATATAATTCAATAATTTAAATTAACTTTCAAATAAACATGCTAAGAAAATATCAAATAAGATATATTTGTCTGCCAGTATGAAGAAAATTGTAAAAGTTTATATTTTAATAATTCAGTAAATAAATTTAATTTTGCATTGTTTAATTACAATATTTGCCAGCTTGTAAGACATGCATGTTTTTTCCCCTAAATATTTGTTAGAAAATTAGAGTGTATTTTATATGCCATAGATTAAAATTTCAGTTAGAACTTTGATTGGATAGAATTTTACTTTTACACTTATGCTAGATTTTGAGTGAGATGTGTAATAAATTTGAAATATGGATGACCTTAACTAGTTAAAGAAGACAATGGTAATGTTCTGTGTAGTAAAATGGGGCCTTTAATGCTTCTTGTTTTATTTAAAATAGTATGCACACAGAATACTTCCTGAGTGCCTATTCCTAATTTCCACAGATCATAATAGAAACTTTTCCTTATTGTCCAATTGAATAATGCCACAATGCAAAAGAAGAGAAACTTTTCCATTATTTTTTCTAAAAATGCTACCAAAAATGGCTGTCTTTTACAGTATTTCAATACTCTGGCAAATAGGGTAAATTAAAATTTTAACATTAAAGGTTCAGAAATGATATATAAAGCATTCTTATTTGAATTAAAATACAGTAGAGCGTCGATTTTCCGAATCAATTGGGGACTGGGGTTGTCCGGATAACTGATTTACGTACGAAAAAATAGTTTAACGTATCCGATGTCGAAATTTTTCTCCATTGCGTGTCGCTTCACATTGAATTTTTGTCGATGTTAAGCCTAACAAAGACTATTGTATCGTTAAAAATTATTTTTTTATTTTGTACAAACAAAATAAATATATTGAAAAATATAAAAATAATAAAAAATTATACTTCAGATGTTAATTTAGTATCAAAAACGTAAAATATTTGAGTACCCCAAGACATAGCCAAAGATTGAAGCGCCACAGCCAGGCGAAAATTTAAATTTGCCGACTGAAATTCTTTCGGATGATTGACTTTTGGAAAATCAACGCTCTACTGTATATTCAAACAAAATATAAACTGGATAATATCAAATAATAAAAACCTTTTACTTATCAACACTTACTTTTAATTTAGCAAGTACTTTTGGTCTTGGAAGGAAGTTTAATTTTTGCACTAGTTTTAATATTTAAATACAGTTTTTGTATAGAAGTGAAAGAAACTGAAATAATCTTTTAAAAAGGGCAAAAGTATTTATTAAATCAAAAAACTAAGTGCTGGTAAGTAAAGATTTCTATTATTTAAAAATATATATATTTAGCAGCTAGAACTAAAATTAAGATTTGGACTTATTTGATTATAATAATTCTTTCAGACCTGAAAGTAGCCCTCATTTTGAGAATATGGACTTTTGTGATCCATCAATAGGAAAATGTGGAAAAAAAAGAGAACAAAGACAATTTATAAAATGCATTAATGAAATTGACTATTAGTTATAAAGATCGTACACCACAAATAATGAGCAATACACACTGCCCAAGATAGAGATCAATGGCATCTTGAACACAGATGATCATCCTAAATAATTGATTCTAGTTAACTCACTCACTCACTCACGTGTTTCTACTTTTACATTTCTAGAATTTTTCTCTTATTCTCTATTTTAACATGTATTGATGTAAATAAATCATGAATATTGATGATGATAAATCATAACTGTAATAATTACATTTGTAACAAGAATCTTAATCAAAATTGCAAATGACCACTTATCTCATATTTAAAACTCTGAAAGAAAGGATTCTGTTCTGCCATAATGGCACTGCAAAATTCCAGAGACTAGTTTAATCATAGGCAGTCGTGGGCCAGTAGCCACTGCTGACCTCTGGACTTATAAGTCAAATCAAGAAATGCTCAGTCAAGACAGTAATACACTTGTAGGGCAACAAGCTATTCTTTCCTTCCTTAATGGCACATGATAAGATATTAGTGTACCACCAATGAGGATCTAAGTTCAAATGCAGTGTAAATTCTATGCCTTATCATATGCAGTAGATGTTAAGACATTGTTTTTCATTTTTCATGCATGCTAATCAACCCTGTTGCAGATCAGATCTGCTCAAAATAAGCATAGTTATGGCTGTTATATAGCCTAAAGTATAGTAAATTAATCAATTAAATTATATATTTTTTTTGCTATTTTTCAGTTGTATGTTAGCAGTTGAGATCAACACACAAACAGATATTGAGAAAAAAAACAAAATAATATAGTATTAATAGTTTTTTTTTTAGTTATTTATTTTCCATTGATAAATTTTTATCAATATATTTACTACAAGATTAAATTGGTCCAACTAATTTTGAAGTGAAAATAGTTTAGAATTAATAAAAATAAAAAAAAATGAAAATTATATAATTTTACTTATTATTATTATTATTATTATTATTATTGTTGTTGTTGTGTTTAGTGGGTTATACTCAGTTCACACCGGTGGCTGTGTACTATGCCGAACCAGAGTCAAGGCATAGCAACCAAAATAAAACTAAAATTAAATAAGTGTGTCAGTGCCTGTATTCAGGAATTTCCTAACAATATGGCATGTATTCAAATATAGTGGCCTTCTGTAGTGTTATGTATGTATTTCTATTCAATTGTAATGTTCCCAGGTTTTTGTGTAGTGTGTGTGGAATCACACACAAACTACACACCTATACAGGAGAGAACAACAGGTAAAATAAGCACCCTATCCATCCTCCACAGATGCCTTATTTCCTGGGCAAGTTCTGTGTACTTGCTAATTTTTTTGGTGCATGTGTTTTGTACATTTCAATGTACAAAACACATTATGTCTATAATGTATGTGATTTTATTGTGTTTGTCA